GATTGTATGACAGTACTTCCCATGTACTGTGTACTGTGCAACGTTCAAATGTTTATCCCACGAAAGCGAGAGATAATTTCGGAATCAGTCGTACGGCCGTAACTGTCGTTCGGAATACCCCGTGTTAACGTTTCCGAGGTTGCATGCTTAGAAAAGACATTCCGACTGTCACTTTCATGATCTGGTAAGCGACGCTTTGATTGGTCGGATGAAAGGTCGTTCTGAAGTTACCCGTAATGGGATGTCCTCAGATCTTTGTTTAGCTATAGCGAGAATTAAGATGTGATTTTAATGAGATTGTGATTGGTTGGATGAAAGGTCGTTGTGAAGTTACCCATAATGGGATGTCCTCAGATCTTTGTTTAGCTATAGCGAGAACTAAGATATGATTTTAATGTGATTGATACTTATGCGTTGCAATATCATGGCGGTAGACACCAGAAATGGGCTTCACACATTCTTCCCATATAAGGAATCTACGCGGGCCTTCGGCGTGACGAGCGAACGCTTCAACTTCAAAGCTACCCCACCACCCCTGCGATTGCTATTGGAGTGGTTTATTGTCAACCCGTTACAGTTAGGGGAAATTCGTCATAATTTCGAAATCAGAGCGAGGTTTTTGATACGAAGATGACTTAGCACACGTCATGCTCTGATGGCCGGCCTCCGAATGAACTTTAATGCACTTGTGTCGAGATCTGCTGCATAGATGGGCACACAGACAAAGATTAATGTGAATACGTTACCTATCAACTTTATACAAACTAAGTGATACATGACCAACTTCGACAATTCGAAAATATAAACCAGACATTTATATGAGACAGCTGTAGAGGTTTTGTATAGTAATAATGCAAATGTTAAGCAGTCGTGCACAAAGCATGTGTACAAACAGCGTCTGGTGGAAGTATGTTACATAATATTTACAACAAGACGTGCGTGTGTACCTAGAGCAACCAAAGTAGGCCATGTCATCCATGGTGTATAACATTTCATTCAATTGAGTCATCAAAATTTGAGTCACACTTTCTAAAACAACTAGTTAAGCTGAGTCACTCTTTCAAAATCAACCAGTTAATTTGAATCATTTTTCCCAAAGCAACTTAACAGCATAACCAAATCAACAAATTAAATTGTGTCACTGTAACCACGACAAACCATTGTGTTACAAACGAGTAACAATGTTTTCCAAGGACGAGTATGTATTCATGAATGCCTTTAATTTGTCTGAATTTCATGTCTGAACGTGGCTGCAGCAACTGAGTACTCTATTAAGGTTGTGTTTGGTGGAAACCACTTGAACATAATAAATAATTTATTCATTATTTTATCGGTAGTTAACCCGCGCAGTTAGTGTCATTCGCTTGTATTTTCTTAACTATGGAATCCTAGGAGGGCCATTGTCGCTGTTACAAAACCAAGTAATCAGTGACAAATGTAACCAAAGCGCAATATCGCGACATTTGTGCAGTTGTCGCGTTTTGAATCATATATTTTTCTTACGAAAGGGTAAAAACGCGACATTATGACAACGCGAAATCCTTTCTAGGATTCCATACCATAGTCACACTTATGAGGCGATCTAGGACAGTAGTTTAGTTATTATAAGTCATATCGCCCCCCGTCACGATCTCACCTTACTTCAATGCCGATATATGCGAAACACGGGTATATAAACAGGTGTCAGATTGAAAAGCCCTGGCGTAATGTACACACTGTTCTGTGGGTTGGTGTAACGTATACGCGATACGACCAGAATAATCATTCCTCCTTTTATTTGACATGTTTGTATTCAGAAACATGTTTGCATGAAACAAACTGCTTTCGCCACTAGGTTTCTGTTCTGGGACGGAAGGAGTTGCCATCGGAATTGATAAGAGCCCCCTTCCACAAAGCAATCTTAACGATCGTAACTCCCTCACATCAGCATTGGATAACGATAGTCTTAGCACTGAGATCACTTAGTGGAACGGGGCAAGGAACGTTTGACTTACAGTAATTTACACCTTAAGTAAAACTCTCGAAATAATAGGTCTCCAGTACACTAGGCTTGACTCCCCGTGGGGATACCCGGGAAGAACAGGTCTCCAGTACCCAATGCTTGTCTCACCGTCTTGATTCCTGGGCAGAACAGGTCTCCAGTACCCATTGCTTGTCTCACCATCTTGATTCCTGGGCAGAACAGGTCTCCAGTACCCAATGCTTGTCTCACCATCTTGATTAATGGGCAGAACAGGTCTCCAGTACCCAATGCTTGTCTCACCATCTTGATTCCTGGGCAGAACAGGTCTCCAGTACCCAATGCTTGTCTCACCATCTTGATTCCTGGGCAGAACAGGTCTCCAGTACCCAATGCTTGTCTCACCATCTTGATTCCTGGGCAGAACAGGTCTCCAGTACCCAATGCTTGTCTCACCATCTTGATTCCTGGGCAGAACAGGTCTCCAGTACCCAATGCTTGTCTCACCATCTTGATTTCTGGGCAGAACAGGTCTCTAGTACCCAATGCTTGTCTCAACATCTTGATTCCTGGGCAGAACAGGTCTCCAGTACCCGATGCTTGTCTTAACATCTTGATTCCTGGGCAGAACAGGTCTCCAGTACCCAATGCTTGTCTCACCATCTTGATTTCTGGGCAGAACACGTCTCTAGTACCCAATGCTTGTCTCACCATCTTGATTAATGGGCAGAACAGGTCTCTAGTACCCAATGCTTGTCTCACCATCTTGATTTCTGGGCAGAACAGGTCTCTAGTACCCAATGCTTGTCTCACCATCTTGATTTCTGGGCAGAACAGGTCTCTAGTACCCAATGCTTGTCTAACCACCTTGATTCCTGGGCAGAACAGGTCTCCAGTACCCAATGCTTGTCTTACCATCTTGATTCCTGGGCAGAACAAATCTCCAGTACCCAATGCTTGTCTCACCATCTTGATTCCTAGGAAGAACAGGTCTCCACACACACACACACACGCACGCACGCACGCACGCACGCACGCACGCACGCACGCACGCACGCACACATGCACACGCACACGGACACGTACTGTCTTATTGAAGACCACACACTAAGCAACATGCACTCACCTGTGTGTCACCAACATACAAATATCAAAGACACTACCTTACACTCTGGCTGTGTCTTAGCGGACATTTACCCATTACCTACCCATACGAACGATTTGATCATACACAAAATGTATTTCATATGCGCGAGATGGTCTCCCGGGGAGACGCAGTTGTTAATGCCACTAATGCCCTGAATAGCCCCTCGCCTCTCCCTTACCAAGAGCATCACTGATAAACCTTTCATAGCAGCATAATACATTTATTCATTACTACCTACCAGTGTTAAAGCATGTATTGATACATACGTGAATGCTTGTGTACATGACACAGTTTCTCATAATACACACAGGCGTGTCCTTACATGACAAACGCGAATACGTGTCGGGCCGAGAGTTCATGTCTGTGTATACGTATATAACAGTTGAATAACATCATTTTTTAATGATTAAGCTCTATGGACCGTTGGCACATACGAAAAAGTCAATGGCACTTTATGAGACGTCCTTGAGTCACCAGAGTCATGAGGTTCAGATTTAAGCATGACATGTGTTCAGTTCAGTATTGCCGACACCAAGATGAGTTATCCTTTCTTTGGGAAATGTTGATGTTACAACATTGATGGAGTTAATAAGATGGATAAGTTATTTAGGCAAGAAGTAGGTATCCCAATTTGCGATATCGATGATCTGATATGTACAATAATGGCAAAATAGCCAATTCTCTTCCAGACCAAAACAAACAAAACAATGCAAGATCTCTTATATGATTGACGGGAACTTTTGCTGGAAGTAAGACACAAATTAATGCCTAGTAGACGTGTCCATGTCTTAATATCTGATAAGTTATGAGTAAAATTGTAAACAGTGGCTGAGGTTAGAGGTCAACCAAACAAACCCCGCAACAGGTAATGTATGCTGTATCTTTAACACGAGGGAACAGCGTGACAGGATGTTACGAATGTCTTGCAATCTGATGAGCAGAAATGGATACTGATCCGTAAACAGAGTTAAAATCCCTGGTGACCTTGACCTTTACTTTATCAGCCCTATAGAGACATGCTACCCACGTGGGTCTTCCGGGTTACGATTGGTCCCCGGCTGCATCTCTTTGTTGCAGGTCACGTGGTTGGTTGAGTTTCACCGTAAACTGACGGCGTGGGTGGCTGCGCATAATATCAATCATTGGTATGTCTGGTCCAGACTCGAGTATATACAGGCTGACATTATATAGTTGGAATATTGCGCAGTTTAGCGTTCAATAACAAACAGAACAAACATATATTCACTCGACATGATATATTCCGTAGTTACGGACTAACCTTATTTTCTGTTATGTCTCGATTGAAGTTGAATTACATAGCGGTATTACATGATTTCACACCATGTAAAACACAACTATTGAAGCTATCCCAAATAACCGACGAGCTCCGGAGAAAAACTTTCTAAATCCATGACCAAAAACTTACTCTATATGTATAAAACGTTTCATGACGATACCTTGAAGGTTTTAATGTTTCCCCTAACCGTCGTATTACAGCTTATTTACAGAGTAAAAAATAATGAAATATTAAACTTCTAATCATCGCTGTGATGTTGTAAACTGCCGGGCAAAAGAAAGTATATACTTGAAAATTTGATTTGGCCCCCAAAAGACAAACGTGATCAAAATGTTACTAGGGTGAAAACAGTCGCCAAACCACTGTAAACCTAAGTCCAAACCACAACTATGATACCCATACGATATACTTACCCACCGAACCAGTTTCATTTTTAGCCACCATCAAACATGGGTGCTTACTTTCTTTTGACTGGCAGTTTATACACTTGCATTTTTGTAAAGAAAAACAAATGGGTACTTGACCTAACACTATATACTTAATCATATTTAGCTTTGGTTTCTCAAATCTTTCAATTGTATTTTTGTTTATTTCAGACAATGCTTCCCGGACAACTTAATCGAAATCGCCTTCCTGAAGGTAACATTGATGCTTCGCAGGTGATACGCAAACATACCGATGAATTTAAGACAAGTCATACAAACAATAACACCTGTCGACAAATATTAACATTCACTGGATTAACAGTTTTGTGCCAAAAGAACTCGGCGTTAGTGAAATAACGTGTCGTCCAAGAAAGAAATGTGTTATTAATATCAAATGTTATAGTTTACTCCACACATATACTCCAATTATTCTACTCCGAAGTTGAGAAAAGTGATATTTTCATTGCAGTGAACATGACACTTGATATTTCACTGTAGTGAACAGAACACTTTGCCGGAACTATTGTCATACATCCCCTCAAATTGTCTCCCTTTATCGTAAGTGTCTTGCCCGTACACAAACTGTTGGCGTCCTTTTTACGTTAGTTCCACATTGATAAGGCAAAGTAATGACAGATGATCATTTGTGGAGTTAATATCGCTTCATACCGTTTGTTATTCTAGAGAAAATGTTTCGTTATGAACTGTATATTTCTCATTTAACTCGTCAATCGAGACTTCGTTTCGCAAAGCGCCATTTTTTGTTACTTGACCAACGTGTATTCTTTAGCTTCCAACAGCGGTCTCGTAGTATTCAAGAATATTTTTGGAGTTGATTTTGTATATAATCATATCTATATGTATGATTCAGAATTATCGTGACCCTTAATAGTCTTTGTTATATTTGTGTTTATTATTTAAGATTTTGCAAACACGAAACATCTTTTTTTAAGATTTTGCAAACACGAAACTACTTTTTAAGTCGCAAATACAAGGGGTGGTGAACCGTCCCCGTGTGTTAGGTAGGGAGAATTTACGTTTCAAGGTTTTACATTTATAATGAAATAATTTAATTTTCCTGTAGGGAGACAATAAAAAAGATTATTCAAAGTGCGACAACGTGGAAATGCGATAAATGGCCAAAATGTCACTTTGTCCCACTTCTGTAGATTTGGATACTTTTTGCTTGTTTTTATAAGGGAGACAATGCATGCGACAATGTCCCTTCCAGGATTTCATGCATAAGCGACTCCCCGGTTCCTCTGCCAGCCGAAAGAGGCAGCTATACTCGGGTTGGCGGACTCTAGAACATGGGCGATTGCGTACGCCTCGTTTGGTGGGAGGATTGTTGCTCATGCTTTCAATCACTGGTTTGCCTGACCCAGGCTTTATCATGTACAGGCCGATATATGTCCAATATTGCTTAATATGACGTTAAACATGTTGATAAAAACATTCACTCCTATCTTGAGTATTGCTCAAAGCGACGCAAAACCACCCCATCCCACTGACTCACTCTAGACTAGCAGCTCATTCCCGGACATGCGTGAATGTTTCTTGCAGCCCGTGACCGAACAAAAGGAAATACCCTACGAGGAGGAGACGATGACAACGGCGATAATGAACTCAACCATGTCCACAATGACAACGGCGATAATGAACTCTACCATGTCTACAAATACAACAACGGAAATGACGACGTCCAACACTACCACAACACCAGCACGTAGGTGTCCCTTCCGTGGGGATTTTGGGTAGATTGGGTTCCCGTAGTCCCAGTTTTTGTAACATGCTTATGTTATTTATCTGGAGTATCTTGCCATTGCTCTGCATAATCCCCACACCTTCCTGCATATAATGTTATCTTCTTCCATAAGATCGTTTCAGTCCTGCTTTAATTGACATGTTCTTCTTCTATAAAAAAATATGGGGTGGCCCAGACGACGTCATTTGGGCACGCCAGAAACCAATGATCGTGGGTTCGAATCTCGAATTATATTTCTAGGTATGCTGGTAAGAGGCGACTAACGGGGTCGTGTGGTCAGTCTCACTGACTCGGATTATGCATGTCAAGTGCGTAGATTGATGCTCATGATGTCAATCACCTGACTGTCTGGTCCGGACTCGATATTTTAGTGCGTAGATTGATACTCATGATGTCAATCACTGGATTGTCTGGTCCAGACTCGATTATTTACAGACCGCCGTCATATAGCTGGAATATTACTGAGTGCGGCGTTAAACAACACACCAACCTCTAATAGTGTGTTCTTCAATAATCTCCAAGTTCCTCGACACACGTTGTCCTCTTCCCCCCTGTGATGTCATGACGCTGCTCTGTATAAATTCTCCCGTTCTTCTGCAGCCAAGAAGTACTTACCCGAGGTGGGGAAGACGAGTGGCATGAACGTGCTCGGTGTCGTCACTTTCTCCATTTTCTTCGGCATCATCGTCGGCAGGCTGGGGGAGAAGGCCAAGGCAATGAAGGATTTCTTCGACGCCCTAAATGAGGTCACCATGAAGCTGGTGTCCCTTGTCATATGGTACATCACCCAAACACGTCCTTATCATAGCTGTAGCCGTGATCGTCTCGGTGGTCACATCTGTATCATAGCTGTAGCCGTGATCGTCTCGGGGGTCACATCTGTATCATAGCTGTAGCCGTGATCGTCTGGGTGGTCACGTCCTCATCATAGCTGTAGCCGTGATCGTCTCGGTGGTCACATCTGTATCATAGCTGTAGCCGTGATCGTCCCAGTGATCACGTGCTTATCTGTTGCCGTGGTCGTCTCGGTGGTCACGTGCTTATCTGTAGCCGTGATCGTCTCGGTGGTCACGTCCCTATCTTTAGCCGTGATCCTCTCGGTGGTCACGTCCTTATCTGTAGCCGTGATCGTCCTTGCAGTCACGTCCTTATCTGTAGCCGTGATCGTCTCGGTGGTCACATCCTTATCTGTAGCCGTGATTGTCTGGGTGGTCACGTCCCAATCTTTAGCCGTGATCGTCTCGGTGGTCACGTCCTTATCTGTAGCCGTGATCGTCTCGTTGGTCATGTCCCAATCTTTAGCCGTGATCCTCTCGGTGGTCACATCCTTATCTGTAGGTGTGATCATCTCGATGATCACGTCCTTGTCTGTAGAACTGAACATCTCAGTGGTCACGTACTTATCTGTAGATGTGCTCGTCTCGGTGGTCACGTCCTTATTTGTAGCCGTGATCGTCTGGGTGGTCACATCCCTATCTGTAGCTGTGATCGTCTCGGTGGTCACGTCCTTATCTGTAGCCGTGATCCTCACGGTGGGCACGTCCTGGTCTGTAGCTGTGAACGTCTGGGTGGTCACGTTCTTATCTGTAGCAGTGATCGTCTCGGTGGTCACGTCACTATCTTTAGCCGTGATCATCTCGGTGTTCACGTCCTTATATGTAGCCGTGATCGTCTGGGTGGTCACGTCCTTATCTGTAGCCGTGATCGTCTTGGTGGCCACGTCCCTATCTTTAGCCGTGATCGTTTAGTAGGTCACGTCCTTATCTGTAGCCCTGATCGTATTGGTGGTCATGTTCCTATATGTAGCCGTGATCGTCTGGGTAATCACGTCCTTATCTGAAGCCCTGATCGTCTGGGTGGTCACGTCCTTATCTGTAGCCGTGATCGTCTGGGTGGTCACATCCTTATCTGTAGGTGTGATCGTCTCGGTGGTCACATCCCTATCTGTAGCTGTGATAATCTCGGTGGTCACGTCCTTATCTGTAGCCGTGATCGTCTGGGTGGTCACATCCTTATCTGTAGGTGTGATCGTCTCGGTGGTCACATCCCTATCTGTAGCTGTGATCATCTCGGTGGTCACTTCCTTATCTGTAGGTGTGATCGTATCGGTGGTCACATCCCTATCTATAGCCGTGATCCTCTCGGTGGTCACATCCTTATCTGTAGGTGTGATCGTATCGGTGGTCACATCCCTATCTGTAGCTGTGATCGTCTCGGTGGCCACGTCCCTATCTTTAGCCGTGATCGTTTAGTAGGTCACGTCCTTATCTGTAGCCCTGATCGTATTGGTTGTCATGTGCCTATATGTAGCCGTGATCGTCTGGGTAATCACGTCCTTATCTGAAGCCCTGATCGTCTCGGTGTGATCGTCTCGGTGGTCACATCCCTATCTGTAGCTGTGATCCTCTCGGTGGTCACATCCTTATCTGTAGGTGTGATCGTATCGGTCGTCACATCCCTATCTATAGCCGTGATCCTCTCGGTGGTCACATCCTTATCTGTAGGTGTGATCGTATCGGTGGTCACATCCCTATCTGTAGCTGTGATCGTCTCGGTGGTCACGTCAATATCTGTAGCCGTGATTGTCTGGGTGATCACGTCCTTATCTGTAGCCGTGATCATCTCGGTGGTCACGTCCTTATCTGTAGCCGTGATCCTCTCGGTGGTCACGTCCTTGTCTGTAGCCGTGAACGTCTGGGTGGTCACGTCCTTATCTGTAGCCGTGATTGTCTGGGTGGTCACGTCCTTATCTGTAGCCTTGATTATCTCGGTGGTCACTTCCTTATCTGAAGGAGTGATCCTCTCAGTGGTCACGTTCTTATCTGTAGCCGTGATCCTCTCGGTGGTCACATCCTTATCTGTAGCCCTGATCGTCTTGGTAATCCCGTCCGTATCTGTAGCCGTGTTCGTCTCGGTGTTGACGTCCCTATCTTTAGCCGTGATCCTCTCGGTGGTCACATCCTTGTTTGTAGGTGTGATCGTCTCGGTGGTCACGTCCTTATCCGTAGCCGTGATCGTCTGGGTGGTCACATCCCTATCTGTATACGTAGATGTGATCGTCTCGGTGGTCATGTCCTTATCTGTAGCCGTGATTGTCTGGGTGGTCACGTCCTTATCTGTAGCCGTGATCATCTCGGTGGTCACGTCCTTATCTGTAGCCGTGATCCTCTCGGTGGTCACGTCCTTATCTGTAGCCATGAACGTCTGGGTGGTCACGTTCTTTTCTGTAGCCGTGATCCTCTCGGTGGTCACATCCTTATCTGTAGCCATGATCGTCTTGGTAATCCCGTCCGTATCTGTAGCCGTGTTCGTCTCGGTGGTGACGTCCCTATCTTTAGCCGTGATCCTCTCGGTGGTCACATCCTTGTTTGTAGGTGTGATCCTCTCGGTGGTCACGTCCTTATCCGTAGCCGTGATCGTCTGGGTGGTCACATCCCTATCTGTATACGTAGCTGTGATCGTCTCGGTGGTCATGTCCTTATCTGTAGCCGTGATTGTCTGGGTGGTCACGTCCTTATCTGTAGCCGTGATCATCTCGGTGGTCACGTCCTTATCTGAAGGAGTGATCCTCTCACTGGTCACGTCCTTATCTGTAGCCGTGATCGTCTCGGTGGTAACGTCCTTGTCTGTAGCCGTGAACGTCTGGGTGGTCACGTTCTTATCTGTAGCCGTGATCGTCTTGGTGGTCACGTCCTAACCTGTAGCCGTGATTGTCTGGGTGGTCACGTCCCTATCTGTAGCCGTGATCGTCTTGGTAATCACGTCCTTATCTGAAGCCCTGATCGTCTCGGTGGTCACGTCCTTATCTGTAGCCGTGATCGTCTGGGTGGTCACATCCTTATCTGTAGGTGTGATCGTCTGGGTGGTCACGTCCTTATCTGTAGCCATGATCCTCTGGGTGGTCACGTTCTTATCTATGCCGTGATCGTCTCGCTGGTCACGGCCTTATCTGTAGCCGCGATCGTCTCGGTGGTCACGTCCTTATCTGAAGCCGTGATCGTCTCGGTGGTCGCGCCGATGTCTGTAGCCCTGATCGTCTCGGTGGTTACGTCCTTATCTGTAGCCGTGATCGTCTCGGTGGTCGCGCCGATGTCTGTAGCCCTGATCGTCTCGGTGGTTACGTCCTTATCTGTAGCCGTGATCGTCTTGGTGGCCACGTCCCTATATATTTAGCCGTGATCCTCTCGGTGGTCACATCCTTATCTGTAGGTGTGCTCGTCTCGGTGGTCACGTCCTTATTTGTAGCCGTGATCGTCTGGGTGGTCACATCCCTATCTGTAGCTGTGATCGTCTCGGTGGTCACGTCCTTATCTGTAGCCGTGATCCTCACGGTGGGCACGTCCTGGTCTGTAGCCGTGAACGTCTGGGTGGTCACGTTCTTATCTGTAGCCGTGATCGTCTCAGTGGTCTCGTCCTTATCTGTAGCCGTTATCGTCTCGATGGTTACGTCCTTATCTGTAGCCGTGAACGTCTTGGTGGTCACGTTCTTATCTGTAGCCGTGATCGCCTGGGTGGTCACGTCCTTATCTGTAGCCGTGATCATCTCGGTGGTCACATCCTTATCTGTAGCCGTGATTGTCTGGGTGTTCACGTCCCTATCTGTAGCCGTGATCGTCTGGGTGGTCACGTCCTTATCTGTAGCGGTGATCATCTCGGTGGTCACTTCCTTATCGGAAGGAGTGATCCTCTCAGTGGTCACGTCCTTATCTGTAGCCGTGATCATCTCGGTTGTCACGTCCCTATCTGTAGCCGTGATCGTCTTGGTGGTCACGTCCTTATCTGTAGCCGTGATCGTCTTGGTGGCCACGTCCCTATATATTTAGCCGTGATCCTCTCGGTGGTCACGTCCTTATCTGTAGGTGTGCTCGTCTCGGTGGTCACGTCCTTATTTGTAGCCGTGATCGTCTGGATGGTCACGTCCCTATCTGTAGCGGTGATCGTCTCGGTGGTCACGTCCTTATCTGTAGCCGTGATCGTCTGGGTGGTCACGTCCTTATCTGTAGCGGTGATCGTCTGGGTGGTCACGTCCCTATCTTTAGCCGTGATCGTCTCGGTGGTCACATCCTTATCTGTAGCTGTGATCGTCTCGGTGGTCACGTCCTTATCTGTAGCCGTGATCGTCTCGGTGGTCACGCCCTTATTTGTAGCTGTGATCGTCGCGGTGGTCACGTCCTTATCTGTAGCAGTGATTGTCTGGGTGGTCACGTCCCTATCTGTAGCCGTGATCGTCTGGAAGGTCACGTCCTTATCTGTAGCCGTGATCGTCTCGGTGGTCACGTCCCTATCTGTAGCTGTGATCGTCGCGGTGGTCACATCCTTATCTGTAGCCGTGATCGTCTGGGTGGTCACGTCCCTATCTGTAGCCGTGATCGTCTAGATGGTCACGACCTTATCTGAAGCCATGATCTTCTCGGTGGTCACGTCCTTATCTGTAGCCGTGAGCGTCCAGATGATCATGTCCTTATCTGTAGCCGTGATTGTCTGGGTGGTCACGTCCTTATCTGTAGCCGTGATCGTCTCGGTGGTCACGTCCTTATTTGTAGCCGTGATTGTCTGGGTGGTCACGTCCCTATCTGTAGCCGTGATCGTCTGGGTGGTCACGTCCCTATCTTTAGCCGTGATCGTCTCGGTGGTCACGTCCCTATCTTTAGCCGTGATCTTCTCGGTGGTCACGTCCTTATTTGTAGCCGTGATTGTCTGGGTGGTCACGTCCCTATCTGTAGCCGTGATTGTCTGGGTGGTCACGTCCCTATCTGTAGCCGTTATCGTAACGGTGGTCATGTCCCTATCTGTAGCCGTTATCGTCACGGTGGTCACGTCCCTATCTGTAGCCGTTATTGTCTTGGTGGTCACGTCCCTATCTGTAGCCGTGATCCTCACGGTGGGCACGTCCTGGTCTGTAGCTGTGAACGTCTGGGTGGTCACGTTCTTATCTGTAGCCGTGATCGTCTCAGTGGTCTCGTCCTTATCTGTAGCCGTTATCGTCTCGATGGTTACGTCCTTATCTGTAGCCGTGATTGTCTGGGTGTTCACGTCCTTATCTGTAGCCGTGATCGTCTGGGTGGTCACGTCCTTATCTGTAGCGGTGATCATCTCGGTGGTCACTTCCTTATCGGAAGGAGTGATCCTCTCAGTGGTCACGTCCTTATCTGTAGCCGTGATCATCTCGGTGGTCACGTCCTTGTCTGTAGACGTGATTGTCTGGGTGATCACGTCCCTATCTGTAGCCGTGATCGTCTTGGTGGTCACGTCCTTATCTTTAGCCGTGATTGTCTGGGTGGTCACGTCCCTATCTGTAGCCGTGATCGTCTCGGTGGTCACGTCCTTATCTGTAGCCGTGATTGTCTGGGTGGTCACGTCCTTATCTGTAGCGGTGATCGTCTCGGTGGTCACGTCCCTATCTTTAGCCGTGATCGTCTCGGTGGTCACATCCTTATCTGTAGCTGTGATCGTCTCGGTGGTCACGTTCTTATCTGTAGCCGTGATCGTCTGGGTGGTCACGTCCTTATCTGAAGCCATGATCTTCTCGGTGGTCACGTCCTTATCTGTAGCCGTGATCCTCTCGGTGGTCATGTCCTTGTCTGTAGCCGTGATCGTCTCGGTGGTCACGTCCTTATCTGTAGCCGTGATCGTCTCGGTGGTCAAGTCCTTATCTGTAGCCGTGATCGTCTAGATGGTCATGTCCTTATCTGTAGCCGTGATCGTCTGGGTGGTCACGTCCTTATCTGTAGCCGTGATCGTCTCGGTGTTCACGTCCTTATCTGTAGCCGTGATCGTCTAGATGGTCACGTCCTTATCTGTAGCCGTGATTGTCTGGGTGGTCACGTCCCTATCTGTAGCCGTGATCGTCTCGGTGGTCACATCCTTATCTGTAGCCGTGATCGTCTGGGTGGTCACGTCCTTATCTGTAGCCGTGATCGTCTCGGTGGTCCCGCCCTTATCTGTAGCTGTGATCGTCGCGTTCGTCACGTCCTTATCTGTAGCCGTGATTGTCTGGGTGGTCACGTCCCTATCTGTAGCCGTGATCGTCTGGAAGGTCACGTCCTTATCTGTAGCCGTGATCGTCTCGGTGGTCACGTCCCTATCTGTAGCTGTGATCGTCGCGGTGGTCACATCCTTATCTTTAGCCGTGATTGTCTGGGTGGTCACGTCCCTATCTGTAGCCGTGATCGTCTAGATGGTCACGTTCTTATCTGAAGCCATGATCTTCTCGGTGGTCACGTCCTTATCTGTAGCCGTGAGCGTCCAGATGATCATGTCCTTATCTGTAGCCATGATTGTCTGGGTGGTCACGTCCCTATCTGTAGCCGTGATCGTCTGGGTGGTCACGTCCCTATCTTTAGCCGTGATCGTCTCGGTGGTCACGTCCCTATCTTTAGCCGTGATCGTCTCGGTGGTCAAGTCCTTATTTGTAGCCGTGATTGTCTGGGTGGTCACGTCCCTATCTGTAGCCGTGATTGTCTGGGTGGTCACGTCCCTATCTGTAGCCGTTATCGTAACGGCGGTCATGTCCCTATCTGTAGCCGTTATCGTCACGGTGGTCACGTCCCTATCTGTAGCCGTTATTGTCTGGGTGGTCACGTCCCTATCTGTAGCCGTTATCGTCACGGTGGTCACGTCCCTATCTGTAGCCGTTATCGTCACGGTGGTCACGTCCCTATCTGTAGCCGTGATTGTCTGGGTGGTCACGTCCCCATCTGTAGCCGTGATTGTCTGGGTGGTCACATTCCTATCTGTAGCCGTGATTGTCTCGGTGGTCACGTCCCTATCTGTAGCCGTTATTGTCAGCGTGGTCACGTCCCTATCTGTAGCCGTTATCGTCACGGTGGTCACGTCCCTATCTGTAGCCGTTATTGTCTGGGTGGTCACGTCCCTATCTGTAGCCGTTATCGTCTCGGTGGTCACGTCCCTATCTGTAGCCGTTATCGTCACGGTGGTCACGTCCCTATCTGTAGCCGTGATTGTCTGGGTGGTCACGTCCCCATCTGTAGCCGTGATTGTCTGGGTGGTCACATTCCTATCTGTAGCCGTGATTGTCTCGGTGGTCACGTCCCTATCTGTAGCCGTTATTGTCAGCGTGGTCACGTCCCTATCTGTAGCCGTTATCGTCACGGTGGTCACGTCCCTATCTGTAGCCGTTATCGTCACGGTGGTCACGTCCCTATCTGTAGCCGTGATTGTTTAGGTGGTCACGTCCTTATCTGTAGCCGTGATTGTCTGGGTGGTCACATTCCTATCTGTAGCCGTGATTGTCTCGGTGGTCACGTCCCTATCTGTTGCCGTTATCGTCACGGTGGTCACGTCCCTATCTGTTGCCGTTATCGTCACGATGGTCACGTCCCTATCTGTAGCCGTTATCGTCTCGGTGGTCACGTCCCTATCTGTAGCCGTTATCGTCACGGTGGTCACGTCCTTATCTGTACTTTATCTGTCATGTTGTTCCTGGTACTGATACCGACTGTCTCTGCAGGTACTCCCCTATCGGCGTGTTGTTCCTGGTGGCCCACAAGGTTGTAGAGATGGAAAACCCAGAACAGACCTTCCAACAGCTGCTGTACTATTTCCTCACCGTCATGGCCGGACTTTTCGCTCACGGCTTTATCACACTTCCGCTCATCTACTTCATTTTTGTCCGGAAGAACCCGCTCAAGTTTATTGCAGGTGTGGCCCAGGCGATATTCACAGCCCTCGGCACATCCTCCAGGTAAGTGGACGATCGCAACGTACTGAATATCCATACTGATCCCCGCATAGGTTCCGGGCTAGAATAACTCCAAAGCAACCAGTGATTGGCGTAAAAAGCAACTAAATGGATCTCCATCGGCCAGGCTTGGTGACTTGGCTCATTGTAACTCGTCGTACCCCGACGACGTAGGAGTGTGTTTACCAAAGATCGAAACACTAAAAATTACATATTCATCTTAACGAGCCGACCGTTTAAACAACTCTACCACCCCTGATATCATTGATGAATTTGTGATTTATTTCTCATATACTGATATAGGCCAAAATACAAGTACGTAATAACTATACACGAACATGCTTAGTTACAACAGACAGACAGACAGACAGACAGACATCAATATCCCACCCCACCCCCGCCTCAAACCAATTCAACACATTAAGACCTTCGATGTCTGACAGTATTTTCATGAACGGTTTAAATTATAATTCCTAGGATATGATACACCATTTGTGCTTATATATAAACAATTTGTTGATGACATGGTATTAATTACACGAATCTGAATCAAATCTAAACATAAACCTTCCTTGACACAGCTCTGCAACTCTGCCAATCACGATGCGATGCTTGGAGCAGAACAACGGAGTGGACCGCCGTGTGACTAAGTTTGTAGCCCCCGTAGGTGCTACTATCAACATGGACGGCACCGCATTGTACGAGGCTGTGGCGGTCATCTTTATTGGTCAGATGCAGGGATACGACCTCAGCATCGGTCAGATCATTATCATCAGGTAAGTGGTCTAATAGAATATTGCTTCAATGCATGGATACGATCTCCGCATTTGGTGTGATCATAATCATTATCATCATCATGTATTATCATCTTGGTTTGATGACACACCTTTGAACCACTTGAAACTCTTAAAACATCCATTTGAAAATATGTTTTGTAATGTGTAATTAAACATAATTGTGAGCAGCAGGTTGTATTGAGATTATCATCCTTTCAGGTCAGGGGTTCGAAAACCGGCCGCGTCATACCAAAATACGTTAAAAGATGGTACTTGTTGTTACCCTGCCTGTCGCTCGATATTAAGAGAATAAAACAAGGACTGGTCACCTCGGAGTCAGTATACTCTGTCTGAGTGTGGTATTCATGTTTAACTGCAGCATGGTATCTCAGTGGCCGAAAACTATAAAATCGGCATGAGTCCGGACTAGCACAAGCAGCCACACACACATACACGCACGTGTATGCACGTCGATGTATAGGTGCAATAATCTTGAACGCGACGTTAAACCCCATTTCGCCTCACCTGTCCTCATATCTCACCACCGAGAGCGACTTACTTCAGAACTTAAGGAAACATATCACCATCGAGACCCAAGTGACGACAAAACTTATAGAACACAGATATTGAAACAGCGTCTTTTGAGCTAATGTAACTGTTACATAACTACGTAAGTTTAAGGATGTTGTTGCAAAGTGTATTGCCGGCAGCTGATATGGTTGTATAATATCACTTCTTTATTACAGTATAACGGCAACAACGGCCGCCATTGGTGCTGCAGGTGTTCCCCAAGCTGGTCTGGTTACCATGGTGATAGTGCTGACAGCAGTTGGATTCCCCACAGAGGACGTAACGCTCATCCTGGCTATTGATTGGCTATTGTAACTATTATTTCCATCTTAAGATACTACGACTACTGTAAAACTTAACAGTACCCTTGGGCGCGGGTGGCCTAGTCGTCTAGGGCGTCCCTTGGGCACGCCAGAAACCTATGATTGTGGGTTCGAATCCCGGTTCGCCCTGTTTCCTAGGTTTCTAGGTTTGTCAGCACCATACCCGTGCTCGTGGGTTTCACTGAAGTGGTAAACGTCTGAGACCTGCATCACTTCGGACTATCCTCCTACATTGAGCTGACACGCCGTGATATAATAGGAATACTGTTAAAACTTGACAGTACTCCAGAAAATCAATACGATGACTCGTCAAAACTATTTATGTGGATCTGACCCAATCCAGGGTATTTAATCTCCATTTTATTTTGATAAATACTCTGGCCCCATTCGCCATCATAGTTTAGTTTCGGAAGTGACGTCACCACGCTCCTATCTCGTACGTAGCACATACTGTATGTCGCTCGTGAGAGTAGTTTTATTGGACGGTTACTTTAAGCATGGTGATTTTCAAATCGATCTCAAAACGAAGAAATACTAAAGGGTCAGAATGGAGACATAATACCCTGGATAACTGAATATGATCTAAGCCAAGGTGCCAATAGTTGATAAGGGCACAGTTTCTGCAAAATTATTTTTTCGCCATTTTTTCGCCACATTAGCTCAAACATCTCTAAAGAAAATGACAAGGGATTTGTTTTAAAGATCATGATATAAGAATAACACTATATAATGCCATAGATGTTTAACGTGATTCTCATTTCGATAACAGCAACACAGAAACACTGCATGCAAATGCTGACAAACCATCCTCGTGTTTCAGGGATCGGTTCCGTACCGCCATCAACGTCCTTGGTGATGCATTCGGAGCGGGAATTGTGGCTCATCTGGCTAGAAATGAGCTGAAGAATATGGACAATGATATTGAATTTGGCGACGGACAGACCAACAACGGATATATATCTAGTACACTCGACGAGAGGCTATAAACACTCGATCCTTACAACATGCTTGTCCGAATCATTTCCTTTTTACAGCCGTGTCCCGATATCTCTGAGTCAATGGGAAAGTGAGGTAGCCTGGTAGTTAAAGCGTTAGCTCGTCACTCTTAACACCTGCGTTCGATTCCCAAATGAGTATACTCTATTCTGATCATCTGTGTCCCATGTCGTGAGAGTGCTTCAACTGTACTCAATTGTTGAACAAGTTCAACAAACCGGATATGGCATTCGTGAAAGAAAGAAATGATATTTATACAGGTTCCCGTTAACTTCGATATAAACACCATTTGTAGATACTCGTGTTTGAGGTAACGGGGGATGAGTGTAGGAAACATTGTCGTCTAGCATCTTGTTCTTATCCTTGCGTTTCTATGACGAATAGTGAAACCCCGTTTAACCGGACACCGTTACCGGACACCGTTAGTCCGGAAAAGTAGCCACCCAGAGGAGTACTGTTAGAAACGTTTTGTTCTAATGACATTTTTCGTGACAATGATTCGTCAACCTGGACATTTGTTAATCAGGATGATTTTAATTTGAAGAGCAGTGTCCGGTTTAACGGGCTTAGGCAATACCCAGTACTTTTCAATCTCATTAAAATCAGACCTTAGTTCTCGCTACCGCTAAAACAAAGATCTGAAGACATCCCATTAGGGGTCACGTCAGAACGACCTTTCATCCGACCAATCAGTGCGTCGCTTACCAGATTATGAAAGTGACAGTCGGAATGAGATTTCTTATCATGCAATCTCGAAAACTTTAACATGGGGTATTCCGAACGACTGAATCCTTACAATCTAGACCATCTATTAGCCGTTCCAGAATGGTTTTTTTGTGTTCAGGTTTCAAATTTGTAATCGAGAATTTGTCAAAATATGTTTCGAAGCGTAGTCGCCAATTTGAAATTTGTGCCGTAAAGCACGAGAAAGCTGTCTTCTGATTGGTCATTCCATTGGTCGGTCAAAGTTCGCGCAAGGTCGGTCTGACGTGACCCATAATGGGATGTCCTCAGATCTTGAATGATCTCAGATGTATTGAATAGGTCATGATGAACCCTCTTGTTTTCCTGGTGCTTTGAATGGATACATATTTGATGTTATTATATTAAGTACTTGACAACTGTATACAATTATCATATTTGGTTTTCATTATCAAAGTTAAAAGAATACTTAGAAAGTTAAGTTCAAAGAATATTGCCAGATTAATCGTCATAAGTGGAATGTTTTGAAAACGGTTTATAACGTTAGTTGTTGCCAATTGAAACAATCTTTTTAAAATCAGATCTTAGTTTTCGCTACCGCTAAACAAAGATCTGAGGACATCCTTTACGGCTCACGTCAGAACGACCTTACGCGAACTTTGACCGACCAATTAAATGACTGACAAGAAATCAACATTAGCCAGTCAGAGGGCAGTTTTCTCGAGCTTTACGACATAAGTTTCAAACTGGAGACTACGCTGCGAAACATATTTTGACGTATTCTCGATTAAACATTTTAAAACTGATAAAAAGAACATTCTGTAATGGCTTGTAGATGGCATAGATTGTATGGATATAATCATAAAACCCGTAACTGTCGTTCGGAATACCCTATGTTAAATATTTCGAGGTTGCATGATTAGAAAACACATTCCGACTGTCACTTTCATGATCTGGTAAGCGACGCCCTGATTGGTTGGATGAAAGGTCGTTCTGACGTGACCCGTAATGGTATGTCCTCAGATCTTTGTTGAGCCATAGCGAGAACAAAGATCTGATTTGAATGAGATTGCAATTGAAAGGATACCCGATGTTCAGTTCTGTTCACACCCCAATGTCTTTCAATACTGTTTTCTAAAGTCTTTTGACAGGTAAAAAACTATTAAAGACGTCACAGGGTTGTGGTTTGTGCATGTAAATAGTGTATATAGTAATGAACCTTGTCTGATCGGCGTATGGCTCCGTTCACATAATCTGGAAACAGGTAAACCACATTTATAATACTGAAACATACGCGGGTTTACTTAAACTTGTTATACTTCGATTGTCATGTTTGTCTACACGCTGTAGAGCTACCTTCTTTGAGAGGCATTTTTAAGTTGGAGTACTAAGTAAGGGTAAGATATATTAATGAACAACTTCTTTATTACAATTAGGAGCGACGTTTCGGTGTAAGTGTAATGAAGAAGTTGTTCATCCATATATCTTATCCTTACGATGTAAAACCACGGTCATAAGACCTCTACACTGAAAACCACATTTGCTACCGCCAAGTACAGGGTCAACTCAGTTACCAGATGTAACCGCTGTTCATTCCAGGTAATGTGCAATCAGGAAAACCACAGCAGTTACCATCAAACAGGGTTACTTAAGCGGGGATATGGATGGTGTTGTAATCGTCGTGTGTGACCATAAACTATGTTCACAACCCCCCCTCGGGGCCCGTTCTAATTATAACCACAGACGGAGAAGCAGGGTTTTTTCAAGTTATACTTGTCATCACAGGGGAGTGCCCAGCTGATTCATGTACATGTACCTACACGTTTCGGATATTGAAGCCGAACCAAGCCTAAATGAAATTATTCTGAGATATGTTAAAAGCCGGACATCCTGATGAACCGACCACGCAACAGGCGGTTTATTCAATCTCACTCACACACAACACACAGACACACACAAACAGACACACACACGCACGCACGCACGCACGCACGCACGCACGCACGCACGCACACACACACACACACACATTCATTCCGGATATAACATGCATCGTGTATTGTCTACTTTGACTACCTAATTTTCAGTTAGTTGTCTAGCAACGTTTAAATGCCCTGGTTCAAACTATTTAATGGAAAATAGTTCTATGATGTGGGGGTCTAGAGGGAGCGTAAGGACGTGCTATGCTATATACAGCAGGAAAGACGTTCATCACGTGGGGGCTAGGAACTCCAGACATTGCATGTCCGAGACTAATCTATACCCATACAAATACACAGTAGGATATTGCTGCAAGGAAAATGCAGTGCTATAGTTCCCTGTCTCATCCTTTAATTTTGACTACCTCAGAAGTTTAAGAATACATAGATTACACAGATCTTAGAATCACACTACACGACTTGTCAATCGTAGTTTGGTACACAATACTTAAATGTGAATAGAAATTTGGTTATTTGTGGTTTTTAGTCGAGGTGAGGCGCGGCGCGACTTTTGTGACCAATCGCTTCATTCCGGACCGCGAACAGTTCGCGTGGAGTTTCATCTTTGAAGTACAAGCAAACATGACAAAATGTAACCTGCGTAATGGCTGGATACTTTTACGTGAATATTTGTAATAGCAGTTGTTGGTTACAGTACACTGTATTGGGAGTCTTGGAGATATCCAGTATCAATTCAACACTTAATATCTAATGTATACATTTGGATGAAAGGAGGTATATCCAAAGACAAAAATATGGGGGCGAGTATCCCGACTAGTTACGGAAAGGGGCGAGTGGTCACGATTGCAAAACATGCTAAACGACGGAAGTACATCATCGCGCAGATAAAAACTTTGTGCTAAGTTTTTATTCTAAGATCATTGTTGACAGGTGTAATATTTAGAGTGTGATATAACTATATAAGATATCAATTTCTTTGCTTTTTGTCCGCTTGCAAATAATTGTTTTAAACGTACATTTTGGCATAGTGTACCAAGATTACTACAATCAATTATTTGCACATAATCGAGTTCAACCTTCAGATAAACCCCACTTCTTAAACCGTACTCCATTTCTTATGCTCGTTGTTATAAGGTCATTCATAGTTTACGTATATTGAAATTTGAAATCTATTTAAGAAATTATGTTTTTACATATATTTTTCACACAGTTCCAATACAGAGCACATGTATTGATCTATTATCATACTGCATGTTATTTTTAATAATGATCCAATTATGATTAATACATTTTATGGACTTTACAGAATCATAAATATATTATTATTAAATATCTTTTTATGTTATGTGTGTGAATCAAGGAAATTTCCATCCACAAATGAGTATATGTTATTTCAATTGTATATTTATCCAATTTTATAATTTTATAATTGAATAGATGAATAAAATATTTTCAAGTAATGTTTGTGTGTCTGTGGTAGATCATCAATGTCGAGTCAAACACAACGTGAGAATCTTGAGACAAGCCCTTGAAATGGTTGGACTTGTATAACCTGACCATCCATCGCAAATTGTGCTGTTGATATGTTTGGAATCTCGATATCAGCGGGAGATGTACTGGTATATTCAGCGGTAGCAGCAGCAGCAGCAGCAGCAGCAGCAGAAGCAGCAACAACAACAACAACAATAGCAACAGCCACAAGCATTAACAACAAATCTTTTACTCCCCGATACGATGCCTCTGTGGGTCAAGATCTCACAACCCCGTCATTGAAAAGTCGCGTCTGGTGAACTCTGGGCGAACTCTGAAGGAAGCTTTGGTTTCTTTTCAGCTAGACTCGGGAATCTCGACGTTGATTGGTTTATTTGAAAGATAACCTGGCATGACCTTCAATGGGCGGTTTGACATCTTCACTCCGCGTCGTATCGTACAGGTGGAGTAAAAGGTCTGATTTGTAATGAGATTGCAACAGTAGGATTTGTTTGTGTGTTGTTTAACGCCGCACTCTGCAATATTCCAGCTATATCATGGCGGTCTGTAAATAGTCGAGTCGGGACTAGACAGTCCAGTTACTGACATCGTGAGCATCGATCTACGCAATTGGGATACGATGACATGCATCAACCCGATCCCGTTAGTCGCCACTTACGACAATCATAGGTTGCTAAAGACTTATTCTAATTCGGATCTTCACCGGTCGCAACAATAGGACCAGGATCAATAATAACGACAACAATGACGACCAACCACAAAATACCAACAACAACATTGAAGGAATGGCATTGAAACAAGTGACAAAGTGAATGTCGTCTGACGCCGAAGTCGGGAATAATCCTGCTCACGTCGGCTAGATCGTGTTATTCTTCATCTGAATAATCGAGTTTGGGTCAGGTAGGCCAGTGGGTGACGGCATGTGCATCGACCTATATTACGTAGGGAGTAGGCTATATACAAGTAGTAGAGTTGTGACCAGAAAACCCAGACCCCCAGCACGAACAAACAGCCACATAATCGCGGCTCGATTACACGTCATCAGCCACGTGACAGACCCTGACCACTCGATCAACTTTAGTCGACCCTTACAAGCATGGGTTACTGGACACCCATTCCTACCCACAAGGACCCTGATAATGAGAGTATACCAGTATGTATTTCAGCTCCGATGGGTAGGTAGGTGTCTCTGAAAATGTATAATTTTGATAGAAACAAACAACTCCATATCAACTGAAAAGTGATATGTGAGATTCAGAGAGAAACATCTACACTTGCTTCATCCTTGGGTCATAGCGTTGCAGGCATGGCTGGGCGGAAGTGAAAATCCCTCTTACAGTACCATCCCATGACTTGCAGAATATCGTGGAAATGTGTTTAATTTAAAACCTTACCTTTAAGTACCCCACATATTTCGTTTGAATTTGTAGATTGCCAAAAGTAATACGTAAGTGACGCCACTGGGGTGCATTATTTTCGGCGGGACGTTATTCTTCCTCGAGCGTTTAAAATCCCTATTGCCCAAAAGAACATATTATAATACTATATTAAGTTAACCTATTCACCCGACGTTTACTACGATCACGATGACTTTGCACGTTTACCCCCCAGTTACAAATTAAAACAACTTGCTGAGCAACAATGGTGAAACAATCTTATGGAAGAGGGATACGTAACTATGTATGAGCTACATGTACATGTCAGACAGTTAAATACCATTTATTATCATCAGCAACAACAATACAATATAATGCATATGGGAAAGAAACAACGTCATTTGTGTACGAGACAAGAATTGCAACACCAAATGTTTCTGAGACGACAAATGGATTATGACAACTATGTGGGGTATTCAGAGGTCAGCGGTGTCTATACGAGGCGATTTGTTAGATAGGTCAGTCAGGATCAGTGACCTTGTTCACTGCGTGTCATCGTAGCCCGAGAGCGTTGGATGCAGCTCATAAAATCAATCACAAGATTGTCTACACTCGTTTATTTACAGACCGCCGTCTCATACCTACAATACTTGGTACTGTTGCCCAGTTTGTCCTGAGAAGAAACCAGAAAAGTAAATTCATTGAGAATAAAATATGTTAAAAACTAAAGAAGTAATCCTTTAAGCGAAATATTTAAATTGTTAAAATGGTACGTCATACTTTGCCCGTCTCACAGTTCCTGAACCATGTTATATTACCTTCCGCCCAGCCATTTCTGTAATGCAACAGCTTAAATGAAGCAAGTCTTGATTTTCCTCGGGTTCAGCATGTGTGGCCCAAATGCAGATGTTTTAGTCTCTGAATCTCCCATCTCGTTGGGGCTCTTTTTCAATTTAAATGGAGTTATTTATTTCTATCAAATTATACATTTTCAGAGACTAGGCACAGATCACACAGATAAGACTTAGAAGGCATGTAGGCTGGCTTGGTTTCACAAACGATTGTATATATTGAGGTCAATCACGCAGGGAGGGGTCTTATCGGGTCACTTACCACCAATACCAGTTTTGTCAAGCGACAAGTGCCAATTGATTCCCTGAGATTTTCGAGTATGTTTATCTGCTCTGTGAGAGCCTGGTACTGCTGGGTCCTGGAAGATGGGGATCAAGGTGTGAGTCATGGAGTGCGTCTTTGTATGGCGATGTTCCATTGAGCTTTTATGAATACCAATGTTATACAAACTGACGGAGAATATGTAATTATAATGTTGGTAGGTTACACAGGGCGATCTAAAGAAGAAATTACCAAAAATATCGCGAAGTGCGCATTTTAAGAAATATTAATTTTGCTGTGGATAAACATCGTCATTGAGTTTTGATCACGTCGGTACAATCCGGGTAAGGGTCGGCAATCAGGAGTCTTTGCATAGTCTCCCTGGTTTAAGTAATGCTCTACGGCCGGGTAGTTAAATCGTTCGCTCGTCACGCCGAAGACCCGGGCTCGATTCCCCACATTTGTACAATGTGTGAAGCCCATTTCCGGTGTCACCCACCGTGAGATCTCTGCCATATTGCCAAACGCGACTTAAAACCATACTCACACACTCACATACTCAGGAAGAATGTGAATATCAAGTAATCTAATAGGCATTAGCCCTTCTCCTGTTTGCAAGCGATGTCTCTAACAATCCAGCTGGTCAGTTTGACGAGATTGTAGATTTTGTCAAGGGAATACCGTATGTTTGAGATGCAAACTTAGTTCCTCATAGACTAGCTAGGTGCCAGATTTGGTTGTTTATAGTTATATATTTCCTTTTGTCAAGTTCGGCAATGGCTTACCGCGAGTTACTGACCTACTGACGGTTTTCAAACCAAGATCCTTCTAGATGGGGACATTTTCTTCCAATTGCACTGGAGTACACTACTTCTGAACTGACTTGACCTAAGCCATTCAGCTCTGCTGAACCGCGTGTGTTAACCCGGTAACGATTACCCCGAGTGAACCAGTGAGGGCTCAAAAGAAAAAACGCCAACTTACATAGGAAGGGGTTTATAACTTATGGCAAAAAAATGACTTTGTTCCTTGCGTCTGGTTATCCTAGGAGTGTATGTTACAAACAACATGTACATATTACAAAGTATACACAATGTTTCATAGTCTCTCGTTACTTCATTAAGATTGGCTCAGTTCTGATATTACCAGGCAACCAATGGTTAAACGCCCTATGCCGTCCGGGCACGATGACTCACAATGGCCCACTTTAATAACCCCATCCTCCTTAATTGTTAGATAGGCATTCCTCAGAAGCTGACGGATGACAAAGCGAATACGTTACTCAAAACGATATATGGTGAAATATTAAAACATTGTGAAGCATTGTAAATTCAAGATTACGGAATCAGATACAAATATAAATGTTATGGCGAGATGTTTGACAATTGCTTTTCGTGATAACTTCGATGCATTAGGAACATTTTGTATTTTATTCCAAAACTTGTTCTTGTGATCCTGCAGCTACATGGCTGAAACAGGGTGGATGCCAATTTCAGTAGGAACTCACTTTAATTCAACACTGTCTTCGCACTTCCCAATTTCTGTAACAAAAGGAAACTATTTTGGACATGGACATTCCCAAAACGTTAATAGCACTATTATCTTGCTTCACGTCCATTCAAAAGGATATGCCTAACATTTTCCGCAGGCAAGGCAGCATACATATTAATAATAAAGCTCATTATATATGCTTTATACTCTCAGTATTGTCACTCATATACCTTATTGGAAAGAAAAAAAGCTATGAATGCATTCAAACTCCACTGATAAAACAATAAACCAGGCTTATTCTCTGCTAACCTTGCATAAGAACATCCATCATGGCCATGTTTCTCCTCCGAATGAGAATTTCATTTCTTCACGCTCGGATAACTGCGCATGACCGACGAGCTCGGAGAACGTACCTACTGATGCATATTCATAACATCAAGGTCAAAGTTCACCAGATCGCTGTTCGGTATCAGTTGTGGATCTACACTGCGCGTGGCAACAGGTAGGTGCTTTGTTTAGAATTTTGTAACATTTCACAATACCAGGCTTCATTAGCAGGTCAAAACATGATCATTCAAGTCAAACACGCATGTTGTCACATTGCTTCGAAGGTAAAACACCAGTTTAAAAGGCCAAGCGTGGGACAAGAAACAGAAACAACGGTTAACCATGCGAAACAGACACCAGAAAGGTTGCAATTTTCATTTAATCAATAAAATGTTTATAATATCTCGTTTGTGTAATAAAACATTATAGAAGACATAAGTAATATTTAGATGGGATAGAATGTACACAACCAGTCGAGCGAGTTATGAGAGACGGTAAGAAGTGTAGACTCAAACACAGATATACAAAAATGTCACATAAAACTATAAACAACATGCTAAAATTGTCTAAATTAAAAAACAAATCCTACACAGTTACCTGTATAAAATGTCCATACGTTTAAATAAATAGAATAGAGGTCCTCGCAGAATAAAATATAAGATCTGGGGTTTCAAAAATTAAATAGTTAATAGATAATAAATAGATAAAAAGATGCTCTGGTTATATTATCCCAAGTTGCGCATAAGTTACCAGCGAACTGATATTCAGTAGCTTCGTTTCCCTTCTCGCGAGTTAAAACATGGACGACACACCTCTCCACCATGGAGTCAGCCATACGTAGCCTGTTTACATGTCGAACTTGTTTTCTGACCAGTTGTGTTTCAGTGTCTACGGTTACCTTCCGCATCGCTCACCGCAGTGAGAATACAAACGTACTGTGACAAACAAAGGTCGTTCGTGAGCACAATACATTGATATTGTCTTTTTCTTAACAGTTTTTCCTGTATAGTTGTACACAATTTCCCTAATGTCACTTATGTCATACACTGACGACTGGTAATATGGGCGGAGCTGGTTTATATGTACATTAGGTGGTATGGTTTGCAAAACATGACTACGATTTCCATTCTTGTCGGTAATTACAGAGCGAATGTATGTAGGACAAATTCGCAATATATTATTCCCAAACCAGTCACGCTAGGTTGTCTCACACCCATACGTTCTGTATAAACCCCTCTGCATCCTTCTCACGTTTGCGTCATGCGGGCGTAGGTTTTTCTAACTGAAGGCCTATAAACTCGACAAGTTAAAGCTGCTTAAGCCAGATTGCATTTTCAGTGTAATGAATACAAAAATTTATCCATTGGGATATTCCCTGGTTCCATTCGCGTCCACCCTTCTCTGCTTAAAGTAACTTAAAACTTTAATTAATTTGATTGGAGGGCTATTGTGAGCGTTGTGCAATTCGGATCGGACTCAAAGTGATGTTATCGTGGCGAATTGGTTTAGGCTATCTATCATAATAGAATGAAGATATATTACGCGAGGATGGTTAAAGGAGAACGTATAAATGACACGTTTTGTCTGATAGCAAGTTAAAGGCTGATCCATTACCATACGGGGTTTCACAAAGCGATGTCAGCCTTAACACGCCATAACAGGAATTTCTTAACATAGCCTGACATGACTGTGCCCGGTTTACAAAAGCGATGTTAACACTCCGACTGTCGCATGTTAAACAACCGCAGCTAGGATCTTTTATACCTTACTTCTACCTTTCAAGTAAATACGTAGAAACCGGCGACCCGTTGCTTACTATCAAAGATTAATATTGCCACTTTTCCATGGTCAGAAGGAGAAACCATGCATGACAAACGACCCAGATATTTGGACGGGAAAGGTTTGATGAACACATCTGATAATATCAAGCAATGTTTATGTGAACATAAAATAAGTTTTACAACCGCCCCTACATACACGTGTCAATTGTTATTGTGATATACGTATGATGCATTTCCTTTAGATTGTTTGTTGTTTACCGCCGCACTCAGCAATCTTCCAGCAACATGACGGTGGTTTGTAAATAATCGAGTCTGGACCAGACAATCCAGTGATTGACATCACGAGCATCGATCCACCCAATTTTGGATACGATGACATGCATCAACCAAGTCAGCGAGCCTGACCATCGGATTCCGTTAGTCGCCTCTTACGACAAGCACAGTTGCCTTTTACGGCAAGCATGGGTTGGTGAAGGATCTATTCTACCCCGGAATCTTCACGGGTCGGTGCATTTCTAGTTTTCTAGTTAATGGTTTCAAGCACAAAACCGTGGTTGGTTGCCGTAGTAACACGATGGCGAAAAGGGACCGACCATTGGATGTTCTCTTGCGTTTATGGATGGTTTCTTTGGGATTGTTTGTACTTTGTTTTCAAGAAACTGAAAAATATTGATCGCTGATCTGGATGGATGTTTTGTGACAAACAATATATATTCTTCTCTTCTTATCATAAAAATAGCGTATTTGAAGCAGTAACAAAAAAGAATCATGTCCAGGACAAAATCCCAGCTCCCCAATCTGATTCAAATCAGATCTGAGCCAGAACCAAGACTCAGTGATTGTAATGAGATTGCCCAACTCCCATAGTCCCCAAAGGCGTATTAAATGGTGGGGCCCCTACTACGCAACAGGTAGTCATTATAATGTAGACACATCTACTTTGTCATCCGTCAACTTCTAAGTAATGCCGATCAAACAATTCAGGTAGTCATTACGTGTGAATGTACAGGATGCATATGTCTGCCCATCAATCACGAATTAATTAGGATATGCCCGGGGGTATGGAAGTTTATGTCTGTCGGCGATGCTAATGTACGTTTGTAGGTCAGATGAGTTTTGTGTTCGCACCTAATTACACAGTAATGTATTATCTGTGATTATGCGCAGTTGGGATACATCATCGATTGTTGTAGTAATTTCCCTCTCCCCTTCTGTTCATACATGACAGACCTTGATTGGCTTTCTGAATGTTTACACGGGTTGTTACAAGATACAGAGAGGCCGCGGGGTCAACTTACACGGATACTCGCTCCCATTTACATCTAGCCTGACGGATGAAGATGGTGGCACCTGTACCTGACTGATGATGGTAGCACCTGTAACTGACTGATGGTGATGTTGTCACCTCTCCCTGACTAATGACGGTGTTGTCACCTGTACCAAAACGATGACGGTGCTAGCACGTGTACCTGATTGATGACGGTGTTGTCACCTGTTCCTGATCAATGACGGTGTTGTCACCTGTACCTAACTGATAACGGTGTTAGCACCTGCTGCTGATTGAGGACGGTGTTGTCACCTGTTGCTGATTGAGGACGGTGTTGTCACCTGTTCCTGACTGATGAACGTGGTAGCACCCGTACCTGACTGATGACGGTGTTAGCACCTGTACCTGACTGATGACGGTGTTGTCACCTGTCCCTGACTGATGACGGTGTTGTCACCTGTTGCTGATTGAGGACGGTGTTGTCACCTGTTCCTGACTGATGAACGTGCTAGCACCCGTACCTGACTGATGACGGTGTTAGCACCTGTACCTGACTGATGACGGTGTTGTCACCTGTTCCTGACTGATGAACGTGCTAGCACCCGTACCTGGGTGATGACGGTGTTAGCACCTGTACCTGACTGATGACGGTGTTGTCACCTGTCCCTGACTGATGACGGTGTTGTCACCTGTTGCTGATTGAGGACGGTGTTGTCACCTGTTGCTGATTGAGGACGGTGTTGTCACCTGTCCCTGACTGATGACGGTGTTGTCACCTGTTGCTGATTGAGGACGGTGTTGTCACCTGTTCCTGACTGATGAACGTGCTAGCACCCGTACCTGACTGATGACGGTGTTAGCACCTGTACCTGACTGATGACGGTGTTGTCACCTGTTCCTGACTGATGAACATGCTAGCACCCGTACCTGACTGATGACGGTGTTAGCACCTGTACCTGACTGATGACGGTGTTGTCACCTGTCCCTGACTGATGACGGTGTTGTCACCTGTTGCTGATTGAGGACGGTGTTGTCACCTGTTGCTGATTGAGGACGGTGTTGTCACCTGTTCCTGACTGATGAACGTGCTAGCACCCGTACCTGATTGATGACGGTGTTAGCACCTGTACCTGACTGATGACGGTGTCAGCACCTGTACCTAATTGATGATGGTGCTAGCATGTGTACCTGAGTGATGACGGTGTGGTCACCTGTACCTGATTGATGACGGTGTTAGCACCTGTACCTGACTGATGACGGTGTCATCAACTGTACCTAATTGATGACGGTGCTAGCATGTGTACCTGAGTGATGACGGTGTGGTCACCTGTACCTGATTGATGACGGTGTTAGCACCTGTACCTGACTGATGACGGTGTCAGCACCTGTACCTAATTGATGATGGTGCTAGCATGTGTACCTGAGTGATGACGGTGTTGTCACCTGTACCTAACTGATAACGGTGTTAGCACCTGCTGCTGATTGAGGACGGTGTTGTCACCTGTTGCTGATTGAGGACGGTGTTGTCACCTGTTCCTGACTGATGAACGTGCTAGCACCCGTACCTGATTGACGACGGTGTTAGCACCTGTTGCTGATTGAGGACGGTGTTGTCACCTGTTCCTGACTAATGACGATGTTGTCAAATGTCCCTGGCTGATGACGTCGTTGTCACCTGTCCCTGACTGATGACAGTGTCGTCACCTGTTGCTGATTGAGGACGGTGTTGTCACCTGTTGCTGATTGAGGACGGTGTTGTCACCTGTTCCTGACTGATGAACGTGCTAGCACCCGTACCTGACCGATGACGGTGTTAGCACCTGTCCCTGACTGATGACGGTGTTGTCACATGTTGCTGATTTAGGACGGTGTTGTCACCTGTTGCTGACTAATGAACGTGCTAGCACCCGTACCTGACTGATGACGGTGTTAACACCTGTTGCTGATTGAGGACGGTGTTGTCACCTGTTCCTGACTAATGACGATGTTGTCAAATGTCCCTGGCTGATGACGTCGTTGTCAAATGTCCCTGACTGATGACAGTGTTGTCAAATGTCCCTGACTGATGACAGTGTTGTCAAATGTCCCTGACTGATGACGTCATTGTCATATGTCCCTGACTAATGA